GACCTGTATGCCAGGTCCCATTAAGTTGTGCTGTGCTGGTAAAGACTATTCCCATTTAGAAACACAAGTAACTAAAAAAATATATTTTTATTGATTTCAGAGGGAAAGGGAGAGAGACCTGGACATGTGCTCCTGACCAGAATTGAACCCAGGACCCTTCAGTCTGCAAGACGACGTTTTATCCACTGAGCCAAACCAGTTAGTTAGTTTTCATATAAATGACTTCATGAGGAGGATTAAGTTTAATTTTCCAATAGATTGGTTTTTTAGTATTAATATTATTATAGGTTTTATGAATTTCAGGAAAGTTATTTTGCCTATAATTTCAGAATTACACCATATTTCAGTATTATTTAATGTAAACTTAGTGTTATTACAGTAAAAATTGTTTAGAATAATAGAAAAGTTTTTTAACTCTTCCCAGCAAAAATGCCCCTTTCCCATATACCATATATTGTTATTTGTTGGGGTAGATACAATAGGCCAGGACTGGGTGAATTCAGTATTCCATATGGAATGGGGGCATAATCATTCACCTTTCTGACTTTCACACTTAGACAGTGAGAAAGGTTTCCATTGTTTATTATTTTTGAATATGGCCCATTTACTTCCCATTGGACGTATGTTAGTATTATTGAGGATGGTCCCTATGCCAGCCAGCTGAAGTACTGGGAATTTAAGCTTAGGATTTAACCAAGGCACCTGGGCTTTTAAGACACAATGTTGTAGATTGCATTTTCCATTGAAGATTTTTCAAATTCCTGGGGAACCATATGAGTCCCAGAAGTGTCTGGCCTGGGCTTCCGCAGCTATTATAGTTGGCCATTGTTTCATAGCCATTTTAGATTCCATTTGCATTAGCATAGATAATAGGCCCTGTTGAGTTAGGGTACAGGCATGTTCCCATTGTTGGGTTTGTGCATGAGTTTTTATAGTCTGTTGAGTCTGTTTTATCCATGGAATTAAGGCTTTATTGTCTTTCCATGCTGCTTCCCACCCTTTTCCTTCTTCCTGAAACAGCATTCCCTTTACATGACCTATTTGAGATAAAGACTCTTTCTCTAATGCATGACATTCTTCATTAGCTGCAAGTACAGCTTGTCCCAGGATACCAAGGCCAGCCTCTACTCCTCCAAGTATTCCCCTTTTGCTTCTTTTAGGGGGCCAATGTTGTTGGATTCACCAGGAATGTTGTTGCTATTGGGTAGTTATGGCTTGGGAGCAGTTAGGGTGTGTTGAGTGGACTCAAAAATGTTGAGTTTCTTATGCCATAGTTAAATGGGTGGAGATGACCCCCAAATGAGCTAGAGTTTGGGTATTCCATAGGGCTTCCCACACACAAGGGCTTTCCAGGACACAAGGATGGTGGAGTAGTTACAAACATATTTAACCACCAAGTGATTCCAATAATTTCTGAAATGGGGAATCATTGATTTTTTTGTTCTGTTTTACAGACATCCAAGCCACAAGAGCATGGCTGGTGAGTCCAAGGACAAGATATACCATGACCGATAGGACAGGCTGCTGCAAGCCTTTTGCCATTATATACAGGTGTTTTTCTTAGTTTTTTATTATTTATTTTTATATCTATACAAAATTCATTCAGATTAGATACATATACAGTTCTACCAGTGGACTTATCAGGGAGGTGTTCTTGGAGGCATTTGCCTAAGGTGGGTACTTTATAGTAGATATAGCCAAAAAAAAAAAAAAAATGTACCAACGCTGAACCACACTGGCCAGGCTAAATGAAAATATTTTTAAGAAAAACATGCATATATAAGATTTGATGTAAGATAAGTACAAGTAATTGTCTAAAAGCAAATAAAATAAGCATATTATTAAATTTAGTCTGATATAAATACTGGTTTTAAAGGAAAGTCTCTACATAGAGTTGTAG